GCCTTGGCCGGAATTACATGGATACTCGGCACACAGGCCGAAAAAGCAACAAATAAACTAAGGCATCATAATCAATCCACTTTCTTGGAACCATGCCCGACAACATGTAGAGAAGAGAGAATTTTGGGGAGGAGAGTAAAAAACTTTATGTCTGTATTCGACGAAAAAACGAACACCCCTTTTAATTAAAAAAGGAAATAATCGCAAAAACCGCAGACAAGGGAAGCAGCGCGGGCTCTCCACCAGACCGCGCGGGCGCGCCTCCCCAATTCTGCCAAAATTCTGCAAATTTCCAGAAACTTGGCGCGATTTTGACGTGCTTTTGTCGCGGGCAGCGCTGACCTTGCACGGGCGCGCTTAACAGTGGCACGAGCGCTCCACTCCGACACTCTAAATAATCAACACAACATTCATCGGGTCCTCAGTTTCGTTGCCATCCTCCGCAACGTCTTCAGGCGACTCATCCTCAGCATTTTAGTGGTTTGGTTTGGTTTACGGTTTGTAAAAATATGGTATGGTTTCGATTTTTTTAATAAATACGGTTTACGGTTTGGTTTAGTTTTTCAAAAATTATAAACAAACCAAACCGTAAACCAGTAAACCGTATTTTAATATTTATATAATTTTAAATAAATTAAAATAATTATTATAAATTTTTTAAAGAAACAATCAAAATATGAAAAATCAAAATACAACAGGGTATACGAGTATACGACTATACGATCAGTAAGTAAATAAAAATATGTTGATGTTGGATGAGTGCTTGGACATGTGGTAATACTGCTGGCCTGATGTGAGCCTCTGATGTTATCAATCTTGTCATGTTGCCGCCAATTTGTTGTTGCCAATTAGACATATGTATAAATTATAATAATGACTATAATGTATTATGAATTTATGATGATAAATTGATTATTGTATTATGTGTCAACAATTAGAATGTTATTTTTATTGTAAATTTGTAATACAATTTAATCCGTTAGGCTAATTATTTAAACTTTATTATAAGTTAATCATGTATTATTTTTAGGGAAAAATGACGTCTCATCATAAACCGCAAACCAAACCGCACCAAACCATATTATTATAGTTTGGTTTGGTCCGGTTTCAATACTAATATGGTTTAGTTTGGTTTGAAAATTGACCAAACCGTATTTTGCAGTTTGGTTTGGTTTGGACTCAAACTGCATCAAACCAGACCGTGTTCACCCCTAGTTTTACCATATTAATACGAATGACACCAACCTTGGTATATCATGTTAATCTCATTGTAACTTCATTTGGTATATCAACTAGCTACCAATAAACCCCTAGTTTTACCATATCGTGAGTTGGTATATCATGGGAAAACCAATAAGTCATGACATGATATATCATGTCCATAATTAAATAAATACAATACAAAGTAATTAACACAATAATGAAATAGTACATAATATCCATGCCATAGTAAATCCAAGCCAAAGCAGTCAACACATACATAGTAGTGGTTCACTTAAAGCAAAAAGCTGATGTATTAGGGACCTCTTACATAGTAGTGTGGTAAACACATGAGATATTAGTACGACCTTACATAGTAAGCAAAAGGGGGTTCTTAAAAACTAAGTTGTTTTTAGCCTTAGCATACCAACGGAGACCAAAGTGGTGTTGTTTTTGAATGAAATAGAAAAGAGGGTTGAATAGAAATTCAATGTGATGTTATATTTTATGTCACATTTTCTGTCATTTTACGTGAGAAAGAGCACACCTGCATTGTTAAGGATTTTAATGCAAACATTTAATGTTCGATTTAACGTTGTTCTGTGCTTTGTATTGGTATGTGGTTTCTACCATTCAAGATAGAATTTGTACCATGTGAAATGTTAGCATAATATGCTTAATAAAATTAACAAATGTGCTTAATAAGTATTACACAAGGATAAGCTTAATAAGTATTACACAATAACATAATATGGTTAATAAGTATTACACAAGGATAAGCATATATAATAAATATTACACAATAATATAATATGCTTAATAAGTATTACACAAGGATAAGCATAATAAATATTACACAATAACGTAATAAGTCTTAAAATTAGTCTTACACATAATAGGTAATACATAATAACTACTACAATAACAACATAATTCCAAAAGCATAATATTTCTTTTACTATTACAAAATAGCTCCAGTACAATTAGTCGCTTGCCAGATGGTGGATAGTCAACTGTTCCCATACTTCAGTTCTTGCAAGATACGTCTCACATTGCTACACAAAGTCCAGTTGTACATTACATGGTATACCAACGGAATGCATATATCATTGTATTGGTATTATGATCGAAGATAGTTATACTAACGAAGAAAGTAAAAGTAAGTACTACCATTAGCCCATCAGTTAGTAGAACCTGGTTAATGGTAGATCCTGGTTACCAAACAATTACCTTATGGAGAAAGAAATGTCAAACAACTCATTGTAGAACGGATTGGAGGTGAGGTTAGAATTTGAGAACCTTGGTTCATATAGTCGGTTCCAAACAAGAACTACACCACCAATGTACCCATGAGGACATGTACTCAGGACGCGATACTACCCTGGCATTTCAGCAACAGTTTGACAAGGGTTTCCCGATCAACTCGAGATTCGGTAATGACCCATACAACTGGACGAAGATCATTGAATAGTGTTCTGAAGTTTTGAATGAATGAAGGACGATCAACACCCCTCGCATTCCAGCAGAGAGCAGTGGTACCTCTGGGGATCAAGTTGGCATTGTCAGTGTCGAGCCAACGTTCGCAATGGAGATCCACCTGTATGTAACGGCGTGGCCTGAAATACATTCTAGCTCCTCATAGTAACACCAAAGCATAACAAGTGGCAAGTGGAATCCACTCGAACTACATGGAGAGAATCGGTGTAGGGTGCTATAAACAGCGTAGTGGGGGACTTTAGGAAACTGTACACCACTGGGTTGTGAACTTAGAGGTCAGGAGTAGGATTTATTATTGAAAGTAATTTTTCTGGAAACAAATTGGTAGAACCAGATTCCCGCAACTTTGTTGAACACCAGTTGAAGAACTCCCAAACACCCGGATGGATGTCAGGATGATCGTTGACAAAAGGAAGATGTAGCACGATAGCCTGTTCACCATCAACGGTCATGACCCCAGCTATGAATCCATTCCGATCAGTTTTGCTGGAGAACATAGCCTTGATGACGTCATCCGCATTGTGTGGATTCCCATGGTAGTAGTCATTCTCACTCAGATAGTATTTCGTTTTGTTGTAGTTAATCTCTGGTTTGGTGTTTGATTTCAAAGGCTAAAATAGATTACAGCTTTAGGGTGGTAAAAAATGTGGTTGCCACCTTGAATCTCATTCATGGCTGTTTGTTTGGGAAGGGAGCTGTGTTTTTTCCTTGTAAGGAACATTTTATGGATTTGAATCTATTCTCTCCTTTTACATGTTATATATCATAATAATTTGTGTAGTGTGTTTCTGTAATACCAACACCTTACTCCAATGCTACCAACTTATGTTTGATAGTATTAACATTGTATACAAACATTGTTACCCGAGTTTTCAATACTTGAAGCACTTCATTTGGTGAACATGCTTGTTTTGATGATGTCGTATACCATTTCGCCTTAGGTTGTGCTAATTGCCATACTAATTAAAAATAAAGTAATCGTAATAGTATACTATCTACTTGATCTTTGAGTAAACAGCAGAAAGAACCCTTTGAGTGACCTAGCTGGTGTCCATATATGTACCAACAACACATGAAATCATACCAAAAGAATTGTTTTTGTTTTTTTAGACACATGTATTTTGGGGGGAAATTTCTTGCCTACGAATTCAACCTTATAAACCTCGTTCTTCACCTATGCTCCTTAAGTTTTCAAAGTTAGAACCAAAGTAATCCAAAAATAGCCTTTTAATCTTTCAACAATGTCAAGGGTTTCTTCAGGAAGTTTTGGGCAATTACTACTAGCCAAGATCTCAACCTAGTAGGACCTCGATGTATGTTTGATATAAAACTCGAAGGCCTTGCAGATCCTACAAATGGAGCTTCAATATCATAATGAACATAAGATTTTACACACAGAATAATAATTCCTTAATAGCAAAATATAATTTACAAAATTCTGGTATACCAACAGAACCTAAAATAATACCATAAGCCCCTGTGTTAGTATGCACCCATTGTTTGACATACATACTAACAAAATCATCAAACCATGTCATGGTATACCAACTTAACCTGAAATAATACCATCACCCACATGGCAAAATGTAGTGTCCATACGGAAACTACCATCACCTAATACCATCATCACCTACTAGCAGCATCATAACTATAAAAAAGTTTTACAACCACAAAAATAATTACAAACTGCACTATATTGAGATACATTCAAATCATTTCCCTTCCTCGTTGCCTCTACTAACTTGTGAACTTCCACCCGACGTTCGTTGGACGAGCAACGTAGGTCACCCAACAAAAGTCGCGCTATATCAATCTCAACCGTCTCTTGAATAGCAATTTAGCCAAAATACATTTTAGTACTCGTAATAAGGAAGTTACACAAACTAACTACAAAACCAAACGTAGGTGGCTTACCCAACGAAACTTAGTCTGAAACCGATCAACAGAATTCTTAATGCAAGCTAGCATCAAAGGGCCACAACAAATACTATAAAATCGGCACGTCAATGAATTAGTTAGGTCCTCCATGCAAAACATGAGCAATGTAAGATTACATGCAAAACTATCCTTACTCGTCAGTCGATTCTTTGATGTCCATAGCTTCTGTGGGCCATGTCAACATAGGTCCTATAATACCCTGGAAATTTCCTCCTTTTAAAATACTCTTTCTCTAAATAAAACTCATTTCAGGAAATAACCAAGATATTACCGCCATCGTGATAACGGCTAAGGCTATTTTCAAAGTCACACAGCGGAAGACTAACTTTTAAAAAGTCAAATGAAATAAAGTTTAGTAAAACAACTCAACTTTAAAATCAACTAACATTAAACCAATAACTTAGAACCATTGAAGGCCCTTTTAAAAATCAAACTAAAACATCAAAACAATAATTAGTGTTAGTGTCAACAATTACACAAATAATTCAATACAATAAATAGTAAACAAAGAAACATATAAGCCTCTTCGCTCAATCCCATCATGCTTGATATGCTCCTTCTACCTGTACCTCTCTTTATTTCAACCTCACTACTCGCCATATAAAATGGGTCATAGTAGGACCAATCCAAAGAAAAGCCAAACACAAACAACAAAGTACGAATCAGCAAAAGCTGAGTACATATGCACCAATAGGAATAATCACACTAACATGAATATCCTAACAATAAATAGATAAATAAATAAATAAAACATGCTTGCCATATAACACAAGTCAACTTACCTTTGACTCATGACTCTACTTTAATTTATTAAGATATAGTTTTGGATAACGCATCGAACGAGATTCCTTCCTTAAAAATAGCCCATTAAAATATTGAGCTTCCAATTAGGGAGCTACCCCAATTGGCACCTACTATGTCACCTTGTGACGGAATTTGAGCGCATTAATAATGAAAGTACAGAATCCTGTACCCCTGTAGAAGCTATGGTTAAATATAAAACCCCATAACTCCCCCCATATGTTCATACTCAAGGTATATACGTTCCAAGAGTTTTAGTGCGTATCCTCTTACACTTTACGTGATTTACCAATTTAACTTGTGATGACTCCAACCAATCAATCAAGATAAACATCACAACAAACAACACACACTTTCATTTCATTCTTGAATTAGTTAGTGAGCAAATACTATTTATTTTAATTAGGGTTCCTTGCCTAGTTTTGTGCACAAAATTGCACGATTACTATCTTGGTGCATAAAATGCACTTACAAACTTCCTTGACTCAATCTCAACTTATGTGAGTGAGTAATAAACTAACTTCTTTGACTCGACCTCAACTTTTGTGGGTGAGTAAATAAATAACTAACTTTCTTGACTCAACTCCAATAATAAATGGGTGAGAATAAAATCATGAATCATGCTCAATAAATATAACCTTATCTCTTTTCTATAAACATAAGACTTGCTTATTAAATACATGCTTTCTTGATGATGAATAATAAATAATATAACATGATTCAATTACTTTTAACTTGCATCAAGCTTATAATAATAATAATAATTCCAACATATTTACATGCTTACACATAAGACATGGATAACCAAATAATCAATTCAACCAAGTATCACCACAATAACTTAACATGATACTAATCTCATACTTGATACCAATTTAACTTTCTAACATGGTACTACGCATAATTAACACAGCCTACGCATATACGTACCTCAAATTGCCTTTCCAACTAGCCACAATGCTAGAAATTACTCAACTTAAAGTCTCCTACAATACCAAGTATATAAACTCAATTAATCCTTTGATTACACAAATTTCCAGCAACTTTTAAACACTTTAAAACCTCTCTAATAAGTCGAAATTTTGGTTTAAAACCTTTAAAACTCTTTATTTTTAAGTGGATAATTAAAACCACAAAGTAAAAACTCATTCATGGTGTTAATATAAAAATTCCAGCACACTTTTTAAGGTTTAAACCCCTCAATAAATCTGAAAATTCCATTAAAATCAATTAAAACCTTCTCTATCTATGGGTAATTAACCCCCTTTTATTAAAACATAAAATTAGTACTTAAAATAAAATTCCAGCAAAATAATTTTATTAGAATCTCATCAAAACTTCATAAAAACATACTTTATATGCCTTATTAAAATTAGAAACAAGAAACATATAAAACCCCCAAATTAATTGATATTAGAACCCTAAAAATCAAGTCTTGAATAAATTAAAAACCCTAACTTTTAATACTTATAACTTTTGAAATTATAACACTACATAATCTGAAATTATACTCTTTAGTTGTGAAAACACAGTTATACCACATACTAATATAATTTATTAATCAAAAATCAAAACCCAAAACAAATAATTACATAAACAATAATTTAAAACAAGGATGAGGAGAGACAAACCACCGCGGTGGCTGGGCTGGCCGCGGGTCGCCGGCTGGGCGACAGAAGGTGGCCTGCAGCCTTGGGTGACGTGGCAGCAAGTCTCGGTGGACGTGAGGTGCGTGGCAGCAATCCCACGCATGAAAGGAAAAGAAAAAGAAAGAAATAAGGGAAAGAAAGAAAAGAAAGAAAAAGAGAAAAAACAAAAGGAGAAAAATAAAAGAAAATAATACTTACCCCAATCTAATTATTAAGCCTCTTTGTGTGGAAAATTTTTGGGTATTGAGAGGTATTTATAGAGTAGAGAATAAAGATTAGGGTTGGGCTTAATAATTAAGTAGGCTTTAGTTATGAAATATTTGACCCACAAGGGTTCAAATATAAGAATTTGGCTTAGTTAAATGAAATGGGTAAGTCCACTAGGAGTATGTAGGAATCGTTTATATACCATATTTAAACAAGACCAAATAATTGATAAATGTTTAACCCAAAATATATTTACTTTTACAAAACTTTATAATTAAATTACTTTAGTCCTTTATAATATTTAATTAAAATACTTGAGCTCGTAAAAATATAATTTATAATTAATTAAATAATTTATAAAATACATAAAAATACGGAGTATTACATGTTCCTCTTGCTAGGTGTCGTCGAAATGCTTCAGAATCTTGTCCATTCCGACCCTCTGGTTTAATGAATACATGTTTGTTATCCTTTATTATGTATTAATGGAAAGTTATAAATCCGACGCTAAATTGTAACTATATTCTCATTCATACCAACTCATCTAGGGCATCATCGTGGGTGAAAGCTGGTTCTGGGTGAATGGAATCTATGAGCCATATCTTCTTATCCTTCAAATGAAAAGCAGCACACCACCAATGTTTTTCCATGAGAACGGGGACAAATACCTTTCCAAATGTCATGACATGAATCTCTTAGATTTATTTATTAGAATATGGCATAAATTAATATATTAGCACTATAAATCAAGTACAACTCACAACAGCTATATTCCTTGACGGGACATCACGCAAAGCATGACAATATTTGTCACCAATTTCCTTAGCGTATCCAGGTTTATGGGGTCATTTTGCAACACTATCCCTTTTCCTCTTACCTCCTTTTGTTGGAACTTCCCCCGTGTCCTAGACTACTGCACCCCCATTACCAGTACTAACATCATCCCGTAAAAAACCAACTTCACCCGTACCATTCCCACCAAATACCGCACTGAAATCAATTTCTCTTACTCCCTGGTTTCACGGACACATCACCAACACACAAAATATACCTTCAATATTAAACTTGGAAGACAACTATTCAAAGGGACCACAACACTGAATATGCTCAAATAAAACCATAAAAACGCAATAATTAAAATCAATTCAAACAACCCAGAGTCATTCACAAGTTTCAAACTAATAAAAACAAAGAAAACACCCAAAGTATGTGTCTTTACAACAAAAACTTAACAAGTAATTATAAGCAATACCGAAAACATACTAAAGTATTTTAGGCTACCACAAAACCATATAAAACCTCAGTTGTGGGACTTCATTGCTGTTTACTCTCCAAGTCTGCATAGCTAATGGCATGCGGGTCAATAATTATTTCAGTTTGCGGTTGTTCTTCTGCACGTGGCCCTTCAATCCCAGCAGTTCGCTCCCCAGTTTGGTCAACACTAGCCTCCTCAAGGTTAGCCTACAGGTTAGCCTGAACATCTGTGTAACACACCTAAATCTCCCTCTACGGAAACACTAGTATAATACATATAATTATACCGTAGAGGTAGACTTAGGCGTATTACCGCCGCATGATTACGCAAGGCTACTCAAACTTCTAATTAAAACTACAACTTCGCAGCGGAAATTCAAACTCTTTCTTTATTAATACTTAATAAAATTAGTAACCAATGTTATGAGTACTCAAAATAGAAACAAGGACCAATATTCCTAAACTAGGTGAAGAACATCCCAGGACTCCCAACTGCTCACTTATTGACTCCACCTGAAAATAGTCAACACTGCTTACCATTAAGGCAAACAGGGCGAACCATAACAAATAGGAAATACGAGTTAGCAAAATATGCTAAGTACGATAAGTGCAAGATAAGTAAATTCAATTTATTAGGAAACATGCTTTAAAAACCAATTCCGATAATTAATTCAATAATTCCAAAGTCATGATTTAAAAAAAAATTCTCAATATACTCAAATATAATTAATAACTCAATAATTCAATAATAGTGATTATTAAAAATCAATTCTTTTCAAAAACCCAATTCCTCTCTAAGTGTGCACACCCCCCAAGCTAGTATCTTTATGTTGAAAGGCTATCCTTGAGGAAAGACTAGGTCATACAAAGTCCATAGTTTTCAATGAATCTGCATAGTGGGATTAATATAATACTCATGCTTGTAAAGCTTTTAATAAATAATTCAATAATTCCTCTTTAACCAATAATTCTAATCTTTATAATAAAACAATTTAAAACCTCCTTTTTATTTAATTTAACATGCTTTCAAACTCAAACCTTTTAAAACATGATGAATAATTTATTCAAAACATGATATAAAAATCAATCCTCAATTTATTTATCAAAACCAATTCTTTAAACATGCTTTTATTTCATAAATCATAAATCATAATTCAATTCAATCACCATAAAATTATATAAAACATGTTTATTCAATCCAATAAATTTCAAAGGTATCTAGCCACCTAAACGTACCTTTGATCCTTGCTAGCAACACAAAAAGGGATTTCAAGAACTTTGATCAAATACACCCTACAAATAAATATAATCTTAATTAATATAAGGCTAATAAATAATCACAAAAATTAAAATAAAACCCCCAACTATATGTACATAAACCTTATAAGTTATTTTTCATAAACTTGAATAAAAATCTTATTTTATTTAAATAAAAACACTTATAATAATTTTTATAAAACCCCCATAATAATAATTAATTAATTAATTAATTAAGAGAAGAGAAGAAGAAAAGGTAGAAAACCAAGGAAAAAGGAGAAGAGAGATGGCGGCAAGGGTGGCTGCCGGCGGCTGTGGTTGGCAGTGGTGGTCGGCGTCGACGGCAGGTGGCAGCCGGCAGCCGGCGGTGGAGGTGGTGATTTGTGGTGGTGGTGGCGCAAGGGAACAAGAAGAAGAGAAGAGAATTAGAGAGAAATTAAGAGAGAAATTAGAGAATTTGGTGTGAGTGTTTAGCTATGATTCAAGGGGTATTTATAGGCTAGTTCATGCAAGAATCATAGTAAGAGAATTTAGGAAAAATTATGGTAAAAATAATGAAGGATATTACTTGGAGAAGAGAGCTAAAGAATATGGAAAGTTTAATGTTAAGATGACTAAGAAATAATTAATTAATGGAAAGTATGTTGTCATGAAAAATAATATGGCAATAGCTTTGCTTGGGGAATAATCAAGGATGATGTAAGGTAGGGAAATAAGATGATAAAATGTTTAGGAGATGGGAAATAAGAATTAAGGAAAAATAATAGATTTAGGGGAGATAATTAAAAATACAAATTACAAAAATAAATCACCCAAAAATCAACCAAGGTGGCCGAAAATTTTGAGCTTCCATAGCTCAAATTTTCGGACCCCTTATGTAGAATTTAGGAAATTATTTTGCTATATTCAAGGAATTAAAAATGATTGCGTAAATAATATATTTTTTATAAAATAATTAATTAGAAAAATACCAATTATTTTCTGTAGACACATGATTGTGTCTCCCCAAAAACCAAACCAGTGATGAGTACCTTTCACGTCTTTGATTATCGAGTTAGGTGAAGAGTTAAAGAGTCTCGTAAATTTCCCTTTAGCCTTGACCATTTCTAACCTGTCCTTAGAGTTTTAATCCAAAATAATTTATTTCGTGCCTTTAAACCCAAAATCATTCACTTCGTGTCTTCGAAAATCGTTCATTTCATGTCCAATTTATAAAAACGTCCAAACCAGATTATTTTGGTCCATTATTCTGGTTCAATAATTTTGTAGTTGGATGTGGCTTGAAAAGAGCTTTCCAACAATATATCATAAGCCCAAATCCGACTTATAACGAAGAAGATATAGCCAAAATACTAAATCGAGCCTAAACCGAGCCTTACCTGCGACCCTATGACCATGTGGAGGGTCCGTTAACCTTAACATCATTCCTAAACCAATTAGGATTTATTGTGATCTTCTAGAATCCTCTAGAAGTTTGTATTCGATCCTAAATCCCTTAGAATTTATTATTAGCTTCTAGAATTCTCTAGAAGGATCTAATTTATCCTGCTTTTGAAAAGATAAAGATTTAAGAATTTTACTTCGGATAAACTTGTTTTAATTTTGATAAAATTAGAATACGTACGGAAATTCGATTAACCCAATTTGATTGGAAGTGGGATTCCTTACGGATTCTATCTTCTAAAAGCATCGCTGAGCGATAGAAATATCGCGCTGCGATAAGCCTATCGCGCGGCGATAAATCTATCGTGTCTCGATAGAAATCTATTTTACTCCGAGTCGGATTCTGACTCTTTTCTGATCTTTCGACCCTCGTTTTTCCTTATAAATAGAGGTCGTTTTACCCCATTTTCATTCACCAACAATCATCATCTAATCCCCTTTCTAAGCTAAAAGCTTTTTTCTCTCTCTTGATTTCTTAGCCTAGCCTAAACACATCCCAACACTATTTTCTTCAATCACACACCATACTTCCTTCACGAGCTTTAAATACTCCAAGTCAATCTCGTAGTTGCCTTCGACCTCGACGTGAAAGGTTGATAGTTCTGAGGGTTTGGTCCCAAATCTATATTTCAATTCTTAATTGATTTGTTTGATTTAATCTTTCTTGAAGTTACTAACGTGTGTATTGTTTTGATAGAATGAGGTACGAGGCATCAAAGTGAGTAGATCTACTATCCTTATTCCTCTCTTTTGATATAGAAATCATGTTTAAGATATTATTATATTAATTCCTAGTATCATGTTAGAATGCTTTTATGATTTCTAGTACGTATCATGTTAAGATGCTTTTATGATTTCTAGTATCATGTTTAGGATAAAGCTTTGATCTTTATTGTTAGTGACATACTAGGGTTTTTTATTAATCCGTTTAGTATCATGCCTAGGATCTTGCTAATGATGTTTTGATGATATTATTATGATGATGATTGTTGTGTTAATTATACGTTGCTTGATTATTCATGATTGATTGTTATTGCTTGATCACGCCCTTTCTTGCAGGTTTAA